TGTACTAACTTACTTAATCTCTACAGCAACCATCTTCGATAGCTACTGTTGTCCTCGTTTTACTGATGAGGAAAGTGGGGTAACCTGCCCAAGGTAGACAGTAAATGGTAAATGCCTGGTTCCAGAGCTCCTGCTCTTAATCTCTACACCATAATGCTCATAGGGATTCAATAAATGGTAGCTGCTATTTTTTGTTCATTTCTCTTTGTATATTAAATTGAAGGACTGCTTCAGTATTGTTTCTTTTGTCCATATATTGTAGGTAGCAAGCATGAAGTCCCAATGCCTAAGTTTAGTCTCAGATTTATCACTCTGGCTCCTACAAGACACATGTCAAATAAATGCTGAATTGAACTATACTCTGTATTTTCTACTATGATTTAAAAGTTTTTTTAACATTCAGTAATATGATTAAAATTTGAAAAATACAGAAAGATAACAAACTTAAAAATTTACCACCTGGAACCACTTGCTATTAAAAAAAAAAAACAAAAGAAATGGAAAAGGATTTTACTCCACATGGGTATGATCAGACTTGGAAACTCTTATTTCATTATCATAAGCTTACTTTTCTTTTTCTTCTCCCTGCTCTTCTCCTTTCTCCCCTGCCCCCCAACAAGGTTTTGGTAAATATTTCATAAATAACATTTGTGATACACATCTTCATACATAAAAGTTTTCTATATGTAGGACAATTTCTGAAAGTAGAGTTCTTGGGTCAAATAGTATCAACAGATATATAATTGTCAAATTGGTTTTGTGACAGTTTATACTGCCACCAGTGTGTTTCTCTCACCACATCCCTTCTAGTCCTGGCCGTTATAATTCCTTTTCATTTTGCTACTTTGATGGGCAAAGAATTGTTTCTACTTGGTATTTAAGTGTCATTTTTTAAATGCATCGGTGTAGATCATGTTAGACCAGCCTAGATAAGAGTGTTTAACTCTATAAGGTTGTTGTAGAATTATTTACTAAGAGTTAGTGTTTAATACTGTTAGTGTTTAATGTATATTGGTGTTTAATATTGACTACTAAATTCAAAACTCTCTTTTTCAGACCCTATCAGATTTGGATATGTCCTTCATATTTGATTGGATTTACAGTGGTTTCAGCAGTGTGCTACAGTTTTTAGGTAATGTTAGCCTTTTGTGCTTTATCCCATTTAATCTTTTTTATATAATAATGCTTATTTGTGTAGAGCCGCTTTATATATAAGCCAGTAGTTAAGAATGTGGGCTTTGAAATCATACAAGTGTGTTCAATTATTCATTGCATCCATTTTTTTTTTGAGACGGAGTCTCACTCTCTTAACTTGTCCAAGGTCATG